TACAATTACCATATGACCCAGAAATTCCACTTCTGGGTGTATACCCAAAAAGAATTGAAACAGAGACCTCAACAGTTATTTCTATCCCCATATCCATCACAGCCTTACATTAGCCAGGAAGTAGAAACAACCCAAATTACATCGATGGATGAATGAATAAGCAAGATGTATTGTATACCTACAATAGAATATTATTCAGCCTTTAAAAAGAAGGAAATTCTGATACATGCTACATCACGGATGGACCTAAGGGCTCCTGGGTGGCTCAGTTGGTTAAGCATCTGACTCTTAGTTTTGGCTCAGGTCATGATCTCAGGGTTGTGAGATCAAGCCCTGAGTCAGGCTCTGTGCTCAGGATGGAGCCTGCTTAAGATTCTCTCTGTCCCTCTCTCTCTGTCCTTCTCCAGCCCCCACTCACACACTCTCTCTTTCTTTCTCTAGAAAACAAGACAAAACAAACAAGCAAGCAAGCAATAAAACCATGGATGGACCTTGAGGGCAGTCTGCTAAGTGAAATAGACCAGTTGCAAAAAGACAAATACAGTACGATTGACTCCACTTACAGGAGAAGCCAAAAGCAGTCAAATTCACAGAAACACACTGTAGAACAGCAGTTGCCGGGGCTGGGAGAGAGGTGGATGGACAGTCAGTGTTTCATGGGGACAGACTTTCAACTGGGGAAGAGGAAAGGACTTCCGGAAATGGATGGTGGTGACGGATGTCTAACAGAGTGAACACACTTAATGCTTCTCAACTGTGCTCTTGAAAATAGTTAAAATGATAACTTTTGTGTTATGCAAACCTCACCACAATAGAAAATGGGAAAAAATGGGGAAAGCTTCATGATGAACAAAATGCAAACATTTTAAATAAAGTTGCGATCAATACTACTGATTTCTCCTTTTGCCTGAGGCTCCAATATGGCTCCACATGGCCAGTATCCAGGTCAGTATCTTGTTCACTACAGATTATTTTTTAATTGTGTTTTCTGCAAATATTGCCTTGAAGCATTGCTCACCTTGATTTCTGAGATCTGGAGCTCCCCATTAAATTTTGTGACCCAGGAAAGGGCCTCCCTCTCCTCCCCTGCCTCTCCCTGGGCCCCGTATCTTTCCATTGCTTTCCTTTGACATCCTAAGACCTCTACATTTCCATTTAGTCTCCAGTTTCTCTCTGTTGTGTCTGGAGAAAGAGAAAGGACCCAGAAACCAGTGCCTCTGGATCATCGAAGTCATGTTTTCGTCTGCGAAACTTCCTGATGCTCCCTGGGCTCCTCACTGACTCTAATTTGGGCTTATTCACATGCCAGGTCCCTCCTGCCCTAATCCTACCATCACCTGGAAACTTTCAGCCTGTGACCCTGCATCACCTTTAGCAGAAGGCCCTGAAGAGCTCCTGTGCCAGCTGTTTTTTTCCTCTTCTGGAGGAATTGATTCCTCGTGATCCTCTGAGCTGTAATCTCATCGGGCTGGAATAACTTGACACTCCCATTTGTCTGAAACAGAAGTCATTTGTCTTCCAAACCTCAGAGCTGGGCTTGTTGTGAATTCCACCCACTGGCCTCCTCTTAGGGGACTGTGACCACTTCATCAGCCGCTTTTGCCTTGCCTCTGAGAGATGCAGGGCTAGCAAGGACAAGAACATTCCTGAGCAGCAGGGAGCGAGAGCTGCAGGCGAAGACCATTCTGGGTGAAAGCACCTCACCCACTTAAGAGGGAGCCTGTTCACATAGCCTGGCCTGGTGGTCTGGACAGAGCTCAGACATGGGTCGGCAAACTCCACAGGAGGCACAATTGTCCACCCCAAGGCTGGATCCTGGGTGAATTCTTCTTCATAGCAACAGTCCATGGAACACCAAGAGAGAGGTAAGGGGAGCTACGGCCAAAGCCAACCGTGCCCCTTAGCAGCTGTGTGACCTCAGGCCCTTTGGGTCTCAGGGGCTTGACTCCATGGTGGGGATAAAAATGGCCCAGGCTATTTCAGAGGGAGGCCAACACAATAAAATCAGTTCCTCATTGTGGAGATGTTTGAAAACACTCTAGTGCCAAACAAATATAATATGTTGTTTTGATAGTGATCTAACCAAAAGCAATGACTAAGCACTTTTCAAAAAAGAAATCCAAAACAAGGAATTGAGCCCTTGTGATACACCAGGCAACACGGGCCAGGGTTTTGAGAGGACTCATGCTGGGGCTGTGGAGACCTCGGGAAACATGAGTAAGGCCCCAGCTCCTTGTGTCTTATACCCCTTTGTTTCATGGGACTGCAGACCAGCTACGGGCTGTGTAGGGGGAGACCTGAGGGGCAGGAGAAGCATCACAACCCAGAGCACCCTGGAGGAGCCTGGGATACTGTCCCAAGGACAGCCAAGAGAGCATGCGACGGAAACAAGACTGACCCAGCATCTCTTCCAGACTCCTCCCAAAGCCTGCGGAAGAGAGGAGGGCCCGAGAATATCCCAGTCAGAGTCGAGGCGGTACAGTGAGTAGTGGTCCCATGGAGCCAAATCTGACCAGAAAGTTCCCACATACCTGGGCCCAACCCAGGTGATGTGTGAGAGCGTATACATCTGCAGAGCGTTTGTCCAAGAGTCATAGACATTTTTCTTTTTTGGTTACTCAGCACTGAGTATCCTCCCTCTGTTTCTAGCACATTCCCCTGGTGCTTCTCTATAGAAAGCAGAGCCTTCTTCCCACTAGAGATCCTGAAAAAAGCCAAAGACTCTTTTTCCCAGGCTCCCTTGCAGCTCAGTGAAGGTGAAAGCCAGGACTTTGAGTCAGGCCCCCTGGTACAACACGCAGAGACAGAGCATCCTTCCGGCAGTGCAGCAGCGGCCATGACAGCAGTTTGGCATTTCTGGGGGCAGGAATGTCCAGTGCCCTGGGCCAGCAGCAGAGGTGATGTAAGCAGACATGCCCAGTGTTCAGGGAGGGCAAAAGCAGGATCTTGGGTGGAGGCTTCGTCATGGCAGCTTCTCCCCTGCTGTAGTTTGGAATGTGACTGGGGTTGTGGTCTTATTGATGCCCCATCTTTTGTTCATGCCCGCTTTCCAAACCTAGCTCTAGAACCTTCCCTAAAGGCTCTTTGGCCTATCTAATCACTGGTCAATAAATCTCTTTACCATTATGTAAACAGAAGTAGTGTCTCTTGCTTACCTTCATGAGTTCTGGGTGATAACACCGAGTAAAACAAGTATCACAGGCCAACCCCTGCCAACCCCTGACACATGCTGGGAACACCCCAGGCAGCCCACAGCTTCTCAGGGACCCTGAAATGATGACCCAGGGCACTGGTGCAAGGAATGTGCCCCGCTACCCAAGTCACATAGGGCAAGATGAAAACCTCCCTCAGATGAGGAGCAAATTCACAAATATTTAGTTCATCTCAAAAGTTTAAAGAAGTTTCATATTTTTGATCTTCTGTTTCAGTGGGTTTTATCTTAATAACAGAATTCTTCTCTGTAGTGACTTTTTCTAGAACCTGGATTAAGAGAACTTTTAGAAGTTAGAATGTATTCCTGGCACCGGCTACCTTAGAGTGAATAAGTGAGGACTTGGCTTGCTAAATCAGGAGGGTTGCCAATTCCTGAGCTAGAAAAATGCCAAAATCTTCTGGCCATTGCATAGAAAGAAGGTTCAGCAGAAAAGGCCTGGCTCCAAGCCAGCCAGCTCCTCAGTGCTAGGTCTATACCTCGACTTAGTCATCAGTGACACACTGAACTCCAGGTCCGTACAGACACCCCAGGCCCCAGCTTTAGTCCTCAAGAAAGGAGGAAAATGGCATCTTCGCCATCTCTTAGCCCCTCTGTACAGAATGTGGACCAAGGAAAACGGCATGATTCCTTTTGAGATAACAGCATAAAATCTAGCATAGTCGCAGAATTCCAAAGCTGGAGGGGCTCCCGGGTGGCTCAGTGGGTTAAAACCTCTGCATTCAGCTCAGGTCATGATCTCAGGGTCATGGGATCGAGCTCCGCATTGGGTTCTATGCTCATCAGGGAGCCTGCTTCCCTCTCTCTTTGTCTGCCTCTCTGTCTACTTGTGATCTCTCTCTCTCTCTCTCTCTCTGTGTCAAATAAATAAATAAATAAATCTTTAAAAATTAAAAAAAAAAAAAAGAATTCCAAAGCTGGAGATGGTGTGTACAGGTAAATACTTAACAACCAATTCTCCAAAAGGAAAAAAACGGACAAATGGGTGAATGCACGTATAAGGATACTGTAGACTTTGCTGATATAACGTGCATTTACAATACACAGTTTCTAGATTGTAATGAAATACCCCACAGTCCTTACTGCAGATTCCATAGTGAATTTTTGCAGAGCCCTTGTACTCACGGTCAAACTATGGCCATGATTCCACCACGACCTGACAAATAGAGTCGCACATCAGCCTGCTAAGTCTCCTCCCAATAAATGTATATATAGGATGAGATGCACCGATTTAGTCACTTTTGTACAAATTATGTTCATTGAATTAAGACCTCACTCTCCTTCAGCTCTGGTCATGACAGACTTTAAAGTCTAACGTGCATTATTAATATTTTCTCCTTTACTTTCAGTCTAGAATACAATAAATCAAGCACAGATTTATCCTTCGTGTAAATACTGCCATCACAGTCAATGTCAGGCAGCCAAGGGCTATCACGAACCACTGAGTTGAGAAGAGATGGCCAGTCACTCACCATTATGTAGTATTTCTGCGATACAGGTAACAATTGATGTAAAAAACTCCAAGGCATGAATAAGATGTACTGTCATAATTAGGCAGTGATGTGTTTTGAATATTTATTACCTTTGTTTTTAAATTCATATTTTTAAATTCATATAATTCTCAATAATGGCTATAGTTAACAACCAGCTCACTAAATTCCTGAAAACCTAATCAGCCTTCGAACGTTGGTACAATCCAACTCCAACACGCCCCTCACTGAAGCAGACCCAGAGAGATCCCTGTCTACACCTGTTTCTCCACATATGCAGAATATCAGGAAATGGGAGGGAAGCAGAATAATAAATACTGTGATCAGGAAATCAGACTGCCCAGAGATGTTCTTTGTGTCCGTTCGTAAGAAATCCTGGATGTTCAAAGGGCGGAGTCTGGATTCTGGCTGCCCTGGCATGAAGCTTCCAGCTCCTCAATGCCTTTTCAGATCTGACCTATTTTCAAACCAAAAAAAAAAAAAAAAAAAGATTTATTCTCCAGTTGCCAACTTTGGCTACTGGTTGCACAGACCTTGCTCTATCCGTGCAGACACACCCTCAGTTTTGACAGCATTTCCCGTAACTCTGCAGGTCCAGAAGAATGACACAGCTGGAGATAATTTTGAAGACAATTAAAGCTAACGAGCTGACCCAGCAAAAGCCGCAAGGAAGGCAGGAAATGGCTCTGGCTGGAGGAGAGTTTTGCCAGATCTCGGGGAAGAGACCAGTTAGGAAGTAAAATGGGAGAGGATCTGCTTTACCCACAAAGATTAGAATTTGCTTAACCAAACCTTGACCGTAGCTGAAATGGAGAGTGTGATTCTGGCGGTGCTGTGGGGACCCAGGCACTTTTCTGTCCTGTTGATAGAAGCATAAATCCATACAGCCTCTACGGAAGTGTTTTTGACAGTGACTCTCGGGGTTTTTGCACGTTCTCATTGAGCCAGATGCTCAGGGATATGCACTGCAACACAGTTTCAGTGAATAATGACCCAGGTTAGAAACAAACTCAAAGTCTATTAACAGGTGGGCTGCTAAATGTATAAATGACCGTAAATCCAGGTAGAGGAATACTATACAACCACTAAAAAGGATAGGGCAACTTATCACCTGTTGAATGATCAGAAATAATGCTGTTAATTAAAAAAAAAGAAAAAGGGGGAGGTGCACCAGATGCTACCATTTGGATGTTTTAAATAAATATTTATACATTTAAAGGAGCATAGAACATCTTTGGAAGGATACGCAAAGAACCTGGGCACAGTTTGCCACTGAAGAAGAGAATGGACAGAGGCTGAGTGGTGAAAGACTTACCCTACAGCATGTTTTAATTTTATGTCATGGATGATCCCTTTTTTAAAATTATTTTTTAATTTTACTTCCAATATAATTAACACAGCATTAGTTGCAAGTGTACAACATAGTGATTCAACAATTGTGTAATCACTCAGTGTTCATTGTGGTAAATGTACTCTTAATCCCCTTCGCCTGTTTCACCCACCCCCCACCCTCTAATTTTTCTAACCAAATAAATAATAAAATGTGTGGCTATTTTTAAAACAGCAAGAGTAGCTACTCTTCGATGGGTCTTAACCACTGTCCTGAGCTCCCTTGAGTTTTGTTTAAGTCACCTTGCAAAGTCACATTCCACAGTCTGCCCGGCCCCTCCTGGTCCTAGCACAGGAAGTCCCCTGTCCTGGGAAACCGGCAGCCCCAGGGGAACTAGGATGGTTGGTCACACTGTTCCCGTCCTGCACTCATGTGGTCCCTCAGGTGAGCCGTTCACGGTGTCCACCCCAATGGGCCTCTTCTCCCTGTCTCCCACCAGTGCTTCCTGATGGCCAAGTCCAGCCAGAAGCCAGTGGGCAGGGAGCCGATGGCTGCAGTCCAAGCAGGTCAGCCTCCTGGGCCCCGAGCAGGGGGCAGGCTCAGGAAGAGGCCTGGAGGGGTCTGGCCTCTCCAAGAGTTCGCACTTTGGTGACCTGGGAACAAGGACAAGTAGGGACTAAAACATAGGTTCTAGTTTCAAATCTTTTTTTTTTTTTTTTTTAAGATTTTCTTTCTTTCTTTGCAAGCGATCGGGGGAGGGGCAAAGGGAGAGAGACTCAGACTCTCCCCCTGGGCAGGGCGCTCATCACAGCCCAATCCCAGGACCATCATGACCTGAGCAGAAGACAGATGCTTAACCACTCAGCCACCCAAGTGCCCCTAGTGACTTTCAGTCACCTTCCAGGGTCTTAATGGTCTCATTCGTAAAACGAGAGGGAAAGTGGGCCCCCACCATGGCCTTGGCCACACACCTGCCTGACCTCTAGCTCCACGTGCAGGGTCTCAGTTGCCCAGAGGGCAATGATGTGTGCGCTCCCTCATGTTCCACGTTCTCCCACAGAATAACGGAAGCTTCAGGACTCTCCGTTCAGACCGCCTTCACAGACAGGATCTGGAAGTTTCTACCCAGAAAAGTGACCCATGGTCCTTCAGGATCCAGTGGAAAGTTGCCTTCTCTCAAAGTAGCATTTCTTCGTTCAAAATGTCAACCCACAGGCCCCACCCCCGGAGACTCTCAGTCAGAGGGTCTAGGGAAGAGGCCAAGAGAGGTTTTCCTTGTACCACACTTGGAAACCCACGGTCTTCAGGAACAGTGCTGCATCATCGAGTAGGAATTGCCAAGTTCGTTTCCCTTTCAGTGAAAACAAGCTATTATTCTGTAATGGTTATTTTTTCAAAACAACAATAAGAGCTTGGGGACAACCAATCCACTTAATGCTTTGCAGCATGGATGTGCGCGCTAAATAGTAAAATTACATTTCAAAACATGATCAAACATCAGCCTAATCAGCCAGGTGTTAGACGCTCAATCACAAGCCTCAAAACACATCATCAAGGATCAGTAAGCAGGTGTTTTAAGTGAAGATTGAGATAAACAGTTTCCTTTGTGAGTATTTAGGAGGTTTTGCAACATTAAAATGGAGCACCTCGCACTCCAGCCGGCAGACGTCAGAAGCTTCGCGGCTGAATAAAACCCAGGCAATAATTAGCCTTGGAGATTTTCACTGGATTGCAATCAGAAGTTCTGAGTCTTACTGAGGAAATCTGTGTCCTTCCTTTATTTCCACCGTCTGTAAGGTGTCGCCCTTGTGGGTGGAGACGCTTTTAACAATCACGAGGACACATTTTGCTTTGTTGGGACTGAAGATTTTGATCCCGTTAGGAGAGTGTGCAGATCACACACGCACACACACGCGCGCACACACACACACACTCAGTGACATGGACCCATCCCACCTGTTTCTCCAATGTGGCAAGTTTAAGCCAGGGAGGTCGGAAGAAACAGCAAAGTTTCTCTCTAGAAGTTAATTTTTGTTTTCACACACATTCCATATGGCTTCCCAGTGGCCCCACAGCTAGTCCAACATAGCCTCCCGAAAATCACTGGGGACAATTTCAAGCGACTCACCGTCCTCGGTTGAAGCACCATTTTAAGAACCATTATTAATAAGACCAGCTTGTCACGTAACCATAGTAGTTTGTCCCTGGGGTTTTTTTGTTTTGGTTTGGTTTGGTTTTTTTTGTTGTTTTGTTTTGTTTTGTTTGTTTTTTTTTTGGAAATGCCAAGCAGTGGGTGCAGTCGTTAAGTGTCTGCCTTCGGCTCAGGTCATGATCCCAGGGTCCTAGGATCGAGTCCCGCATCAGGCTCCCTGCTCAGTGGGGAGTCTGTTTCTCCCTCTCCTTCTGCCTGTCATTCTCCCTACTTGTGTGCTCTCTCTCTCTCTCTCTGTCAGATAAGTAAATAAAATCTTGAGGGGGAAAAAAAAAAAGGAAATGCCAAGCAGGAGTGCCTGCTTAAAAACAGGGACAAACTAACTACTATTCTTTTCTGGTAAAAGTAAACTTCATCTATGCACTGCCTCAACAGGAACACAGTTGTGTTGTTTTGTAATGGTCTTTACTTGGCTATATATATTTTTAAAGATGTTATTTATTTGAGATCGAGAGAGGGGGGAAAAGGGAGAAGCAGGCTCCCCGCCGAGCAGAGAGCCCGATTCGGGACTCGATCCCAGGACCCTGCAATCATGACCTGAGCCAAAGGCAGACAGTTAGCCCACCGAGCCACCCAGGCATCCCTGAGAGAATTGCTTAAGCTTCGTTTTTCTTTCTTTTCTCTCTTCCCAGGCCTTGAATTCCCACCAAAATAATAGTTTCAGTTCTTACCATTTTACCTCCTACAGTTGAAGGAGCCATAGATCCATGTTGGGTCGTCCAGGACACCAACTTAACCAAGTCGCCATCATCCTCACCAGTCCGCAGAGATAAAAGTGAGACATCACAACGTTTCACAGTCGATCCCAGACATCAACGCATTGCTCTGAAACAAAATCGAGTTTTGTCAGGGGTTTTGAGACTGTGGATTCAGAGTCTGAATGAGCCCAAAGAACTTCATTCTTCCCTCCCACCAGTTCCCAAAACCCGTCGGTAATTGCCGACCGCATTAGGGCTGGTCTTTCATATCCTCGTCCTCTTCCGAGCTGTCGGATTCAGCGGGGTGCTGGTTAGTGGACAGCTGGGGCTTCTGTGACTCAGGACATCCAATCCTGAACTGTGAGTCTATTTGCAAAGATAAAACGTTTCCTCTGTAAACCAGGGAGTCTGGCTATCTTTGGGCTTTTCTGGCGCCCCTTTGTCCTGTGATCTGTACTCTCTTTGGTGTATGTGCTCTGTCATCTCTCCTCTCCCAACGGTGCCAGCCTGGGGCGTATTAACCTCCACTTACCGGGAGGGAAGAGGAGCTCATTGGCCCTGACAGCCTCCCGAGCCAGCAGGAGGGGTTATAACTTTAAGCTGGCCTGGAAATTCCCTCAGAAGTCCTGAGGGAATGACACAAATGATTCAGACCACTTCAATCATGGTTTTTCCTCTTCTCTGTCCTTCAATAAACCTCTGGCCTCCTATTTCATGGAGCAACTAGAAATCATTGACTGGAAGCCCCATTGATTCCTTGCCGGACTCCTCCCATCTAAGAACTGCCCTCTCCTGTCCCTCCTGTCTCCTCCTTTCCGCCCCCCCAGACCCTTTCCCCACGAAAACTTTGGACCCCAACTCTATCAACTGCTCTCCTTGTCTTCAGCTCCTGATCTCAGGATCCTGAGTCCTCTGTTGAAGCCCTGGCCCGTCACCATTTGTACATAACAAAACAGTAAATTGGAAGTTGGAACTGAAGCACCGAGATAGAATAAAGATTATATTCCAAGGTCTGCGCTAGACCCAATGCAAAATCTCAAAGCAAGATAACCAAGAACCGGTGTTTTGACTTTTAAATTCCTTCACTCACATGGAGGATAAGAAGAGTCAGAGGAGGGGGAATTGCAAGGATTTTAGAGCAGGGCCGGTAGAAAGCTATGGTTCTCATCCCTCAAGGAGAGAAGGATGAAGGGGATGTCTGCCTTCTCCTCAAGCCCAGTGAGAGAGCTTTAATAGAACCCCTTGGAGAAATTAATGTGTGTTCCCCGGAGCTGGGGGGCTGGAGGGACTGGGGTCTAGCTCACACCTGAGTCAGACCAGGACCCTGTCAGCAGGCAGAAGCCTGGATCTAAGGAGAAAGTTCGCTCCTGGAGACCAAACAGACAAATCCGGCTGGAAAACAGGGCCCTAGAAGTAAGAGGCAGAGCAGTAGTGGGGTGGGTAGATGGGGTTTGAGAGTGAACCAAGTGGACAAGACCAGCAAAAGTGTTGCCACTGGAAAGTCCTACCAGGTGAGATTTAAAAAAAAAAAAAAAAAAAAAAAAAAAGAAAAACCCATGGAAATGCCCAGTGAGTGTCCATGATGCACTCAGAAGAGACAGACAGGGCAAAGCCATCTCATCTCTTGTCCTCCTGGCTCTGGCCCTGACGCCCTCGTTAGCAGTAGGTTATCAGCTGGTTATCAGCTTGGAGCAGACGTTCTAAATGAACTAACATGACTCAGAACCTTCTTTTACATAAGAGGAACCAGAGAAATGACCAGTGCCTGAAACAGATTTAAAGGGGCAGGGGAAGGGGCACGTGAGTGGTTCAGTTGGTTAAGTGGCTGACTCTTGAGCTCAGGGTCCTGAGTTCGAGCCCCACGTTGGGCTCCACAGTGAGCACAGAGCCTACTTTTTTAAAAAAAGAGGACAGTGGAAGACAAAAATAAGACTGCTTCGGGAAAACTCAGCCCGTAGGCTGATATGCCACACATACAGACTGATAGACTCCTTAGAAGAGAAAGCACAAACCTCCCTTGATTCTACAACAACTTTTAGCTTTGCCCATCTTTTCCCTCCCCCACCCCTGAGGTTATTCAAGGAAAGTTGCTCTCCACCCGCCTCACGCATCATGTCCACAGCCAAACTGCTTCTGCCTTTTTATTACTGCTCGGAGATATCTCTTGGATAAGGTCACCATTCATATCTTTTTATTTTTTCCTTATTTTCTCAAAATAAATTTTTCTTACTGTAAAAGCAAATATGCATATTGCAGAAAAATCAGAAACTTTAAGTACCTAAAATCATCATTAAAAATAAAATCGGGGCGCCTGGGTGGCTCAGTCAGTTAAACGTCTGCCTTTGGCTCAGGTCATGATCCCAGGGTCCTGGGATCAGGTCCCACATCGGGCTCTGCTCAGCAGGGAGCCTGCTTCTCTCTCTGGCTCTGCTTGCCTTTCCCCATGCTTGTGCTCACTCATGCTCTCTTTCTCCAATAAAATCTTAAAAAAAAAAAAATGTTTTAAGTAAATAAAATCCATAACCCCATCCATCCCAGGTCAACCACTGTTAATGGGTTGATGCAGATCCTAGACTACTCTGTGCATACAGACATTGTGTAGATACACACGTGTAGGTACACACACACACACACACACACAGAGTTGTTTCAAGTGTTTCATGATAGCCATGATGATTTAAATGAGCTTGAATGCATACATAGACATACATGCTACTTAAAACATGTGTATGTACATGCACAAATTTGAGATGTATTTTTTAAGTATTTAGCAGGTTCAAATAGAAGTCTTACACACAAGCAAAAACAGGATTATGGGAGATGCAAATAATTTACACAGGTACATTCCTTACCCCGAAATATCTTTTTACATAGTGAGCTTGTAAAATAGGAGAGTCTACAGCTGCGTTTCCTTCACTCGGTCTCTTGTTCTTCTCTTTGTGTATCTTATGTAAATCAAAACTGTCCTATTCTTTCTGCTGCTTCTGTGTTTTCCAAAGATTTATGAAGACGTTGGCTTTTATTAAAGCAAGGACTCTGGGACAAGTTGGCACTTCCATTTACATCAGAAAACAGTGGGAGGTAATGAATGTGTTTTTAATGCTTTATCCAATAGTAAGACATCATTTCATTTATTTTTCCTTTTTCTTTTTTTTTAAGATTTTATTTATTTATTTGACAGAGAGAGATCACAAGTAGGCAGAGAGGCAGACAGAGGGAGAGGGGGAAGCAGGCTCCCTGCTGAGCAGAGAGCCTGATGCAGGGCTCGATCCCAGGACCCTGAGATCATGACCTGAGCCAAAGGCAGGGGCTTAACCCACTGAGCCACCCAGGTGCCCCTTATTTTTCAATTATATGTAATGTGATATTAAGATAGGAAAAGACAATGGTGGAAATTCTGAGCAGATGATTTTTTTTTTAAGATTTTTTTATTTATTTGACAGACAGAGATCACAGTAGGCAGAGAGGCAGGCAGAGAGAGAGGGGGAGAAGCAGGCTCCCCGCCGAGCAGAGAGACCGATGTGGGGCTCGATCCCAGGACCCTTGAGATCATGACCTGAGCTGAAGGCAGAGGCTTTAACCCACTGAGCCACCCAGGTGCCCCCAGATTATTCTTTTTTAAGCTGTACTTTTATTTTGTTTTTTTAAGTACACTCTGTCCCCCAATGTGGAGCTCAAAGTCATGACCCCAAGATCAAGAGCTGCATGCTCTACTGACTGAGACAGCCAGGTGTTTCACGGGCAGATGGTTCTGACATAGGAAATATCTTTTACACATATAATCATGTGAGGTCCACTTCTGCCAATATATAATTTATACTAGTATTTATTCAAGTATTTATATACACATACCACTTTGTTGTTTAGACACATTCCACTATGTTAAAAATAAACGCTAAAGATGTAAAAATCACATCTAGGGGCACCTGGGTGGCTCAGTGGGTTAAGCCTCTGCCTTTCGGCTCAGGTCATGATCTCAGGGTCCTGGGATCAAGCCCAGCATCGGGCTCTCTGCTCTGCAGGGAGTCTGCTTCCCTCTCTCTCTGCCTGCCTCTCTGCCTACCTGTGATCTCTGTCTGTCAAATGAATAAATAAAATCTTTTTAAAATTTTAAAAAATAAAATAAATAAATAAATAAATAATAAAAAATAAAAACCACATCTAAAAATCCCACTCTGTGGAAAAGACAACATTGAAGAATGTTGTGTAAGACTTCCAAACCTATTTCAAACCTAACAAATATAGCTCTGTAAACCTCCCTTCTTTTTAGAAAGAGAGAGAGAGTGGGTACACACATATGAGTGAGTGGGGGGCAGGCAAAAGAAGAGGGAGAGAGGGAGAGAATCTCAAGCAGACTCCGTGCTGAGCCTGGAACCTGCTGTAGGGCTCAATCTCACAACCCTGAGATCATGACCTGAGCTGAAATCAAGAGTTGGACACTCAACTGACTGAGCCACCCAGGCACCCCACCATAACCCATTTTATTTTGTTATTTTTACAAAATGAGAGATCATGCAGACTGTCCTACAACTTGCTTCTTTTACTTAACCTGCCATGAACATTTTTTTCAAATCTAGACATCCAGACTGACCTCATGCCTTTTTACCAATTGTGTATTGTTCTGCTGCATGTTATGGCCCATGATTTATTTAAGCACATCCTTGTGGAGAAACATTTATTTCAGAGAATTTATTATCACAGATAGTGCAGCTCTGCCCACCAAGTACCTTTATCTCCAAACAGTTGTCTAATCCTCTAGGTAGGCTCAGTAGTCAAGGTGAACTTGCTTGGTCAAAAAAAAAAAGGCACATCCAAATAAAAAGCACATTCAAATTTCAATTTGAAATGCAGATTTGATGCAGATTTGAAAATGAGAATGCACTCATACTCTAGAAAGACTACACCACTTTATTCTCCCTTGAGCTCTTCAAAAATGAGTATTATTGGGACGCCTGGGTGGCTCAGTGGGTTAAGCCACTGCCTTCGGCTCAGGTCATGATCCCAGGTTCCTGGGATCAAGTCCCACATCAGGCTCCTTGCTCAGTGAGGAGCCTGCTTCTCTCTCTCTGCCTCTGCCTGCCACTCTGCCTGCTTATGTTCTCCCGCTCTCTCTCTCTCTCTCTCTCTGACAAATAAATAAATAAAATCTTTAAAAAAATGAGTATTATTGATCTTTCTTTTTGCCAAGGTGATAGGTATAAATGAACACATTGTTTCCATTAGCATTTTTTTTCATAGTCAAGGAGACTGTACTTCTCATCCTTGATTGGCTATCTTATTTCTCCCAGGAATTGCTGATTCTGGTCTTTTTCCATCTTTCTGCTGGGTTATTTGTCTTTTCTAGCAATTTATAAAATTTCTTCGGCTAATAGAGATATTAACTCTATCGCGCTGATTGCCAACAATTTTCCCAGTTCTTCTCTTGGCCATTGTCTGAGGGATT